GAACGAGAGGCCCGCCATGCGGCCATCACCCCCGACGAGTGGGACCACCATGACCTGATGGCCCAAGCCTATCCTGACTACCCTCATCCATTTTTGGAAGAAGATTACATTCAGCATGCCAAAAACAAAGGTGAAATGACGCTCCTGATCGCCTGCCAGCCCATGCGCGTGGACGGTTACAATCCCACCACACGCACCGTCTACGAATTCCACGGTTGTTTTTTCCACGGGTGCCCTGCCTGTTTTCCGAACCGCCAAGTCCAGATCCGGATGCTCGATCGCCAGACCATGCATGACCTGTACCTTCGCACCCAGGCGAGAGACCAAGCCATCGTTCAGTCAGGGTACGCTCTCCAAACCATGTGGGAGTGCGAATGGAAACGTCTCAAGGCCAGCCGCGAAGATATCCAAGGGTTCGTGGACGGGTTGGAGTTCGTAGACCGCCTAGAACCTCGAGACGCCTTTTATGGGGGGCGTACTGAAGCCGTGACCATGCATGCCGTGGCTGATCCAGACCAAGGGGAATCCATTCAGTACTTGGATTTTACCTCTTTGTACCCCTTTGTCAACAAGAGCTGCGTTTACCCGGTAGGCCATCCAGTCGTCCTGACACAACTGGAGTCCACCGACCTGACGCCATACTTTGGTTTGGCCAAAGTCACCGTGCTGCCGCCGTATGGGTTGTACTTGCCCGTGCTGCCCTACAGAGCCCAAGGCAAATTACTCTTCCCATTGTGCCGAGCCTGCGTCGAAGCCGAATTGGCCAAACCCCTCTTAGAAAGGAGTCGTGACTGCCCTCACGCGGACAGAGATCGCGCTCTGACGGGTACGTGGACCACCATCGAATTGGAAGAAGCCCTCGCCCAAGGCTACGATGTATTACAAGTCCACGAGATCTGGCATTTTCCACACACTTCGACCCAATTGTTCACCCAATACATCAACACCTTCCTCAAAATCAAACAGGAAGCCGATGGATGGCCAGCCAGCGTAGGTACAGATGCATTAAAACGACAGGAATACTTAGCAGCCTACCTGGAACACGAAGGGGTCCAGTTAGAGTACGCGCAGATCGAGAAGAATCCCGCGAAACGAGCCTTAGCCAAATTGATGCTCAATAGTTTTTGGGGCAAATTTGGCCAGGCCAGCAACAAATGCCAAGTGGAAAGCATTTCCAGTCCTGCCAAGTTTCATCAACTCCTCAACCAAGATGATGTCCACATCCACGCCATCCGTGTGGTCAACGAAGAGATGTTAGAAATCGTCTATAATAAGATTACGGAAGCCGCACCCATCCAGCCTCACATCAACATTTTTATCGCCGCCTTTACCACCGCCCATGCCCGTCTGCATTTGTATCGTCGAGCCTTGTTCCTGTTACAGCCCCAGCAAGTTTTGTACATGGACACGGACAGCATCATTTACAAACATGCACCAGGGCAACCCACCCTCGAAACAGGAGCGTACCTGGGCCAGTTCAAAAATGAATTAGACGAGGGAGATACCATCACGGAATTCGCCACGGCTGGTCCCAAGAATTACGGCTACGTCACTCTTCAAGGCAAAGTGGAATGCAAGGTCCGAGGCTTTTCCCTCAATGCCCGCGGTCAAGAACAATTGAACTTTGACATTTTAAAACGCAATGTCCTCGACGAACTTCGGCATCCTCAAGCCCAGGCGAGATCCATTCCCATCTTCAACCCCCACAAGATCGTGCGGGATGACACAACCAAGCGACTCCAAACGAGGGCCGAAATTAAGCGCTATCAGTTGGTAGCGAGCAAACGCGTGGTGGACCCCAGCACCTTTCATTCCTATCCGTATGGCTTCACGCCCGCTCCACAAGACGGTAACTTCAGTGATAATGACAGTGTATTTTCCCTTTAACAAGCAACATTAATAAACTTTGAACATTCTACCTTTTGGATTCTTCGTTCTGCTCCTTCCACCCCTCGTAGGTGAAAAGCCTTTTTTCGTCCTCCATGTTCCTCTTCCAGTACCCTCTCCAAGGCCTAAAACCACGTACTTTGCACTCAACTTTTCCCTGAAGTTGACCCCATACTGCGGACGAGTCGCCCTGCTTCGCATTCCACTCGCAACCAAACCTCGGCTTCTTCTACGCCCGGAACGTAATGTAAGGGGAGCACAAGGCCATTTTTCCATCGTTCTGCGGGTCCTTCTGCGCAGTTTCCTTTTCTTCTGCTGGCGGACTTGGAGTTTCACCCCCAGATACAGGGCTTTTTGGTGTTCCTGACTACTTGGAGAAAACGTTGTGTCAAGGTGTTCCATCTCCATTTCACCAGGATTGGCTTCCAAAGCGACCCCTGCCAAAGATGAAAACGGCAACGGCTCTCACGGCAATGGCCCATTTTGAATCCTCCATGCAGGTCATTTTTTCTGGCAATCCATTCTCTCCATCTCCTCCAACAACATTGACGTTAACCCTTTCCACGTCAAACTCAGCACTTCAAACAGCAACAGAGTGCAACTCCTTTGCAATCCAGGCCTGTTTTTGAAGTTCCTTTCGTAGTAATTTCAGCCAACTTTCGTCCAACTCGCTTTCTTTGCGCTGCTCCTTTTTGTCGGATACATCCATCTTGGAACCCTGCTGTACCTCCATACGTCGATGATTTCCTTTCCCGGCTGCCAGCTTTAACCTCCTTGCAGGTGTGATAGACCCTCTTCACACGCCAACCTCTTCAAAGATGCATTGGTTGCCAGTATCATTGTCAGCCCTGTTGGCGATCCAAAGGAGTTCCAGGGCAAGACATTGGTTTCCTTTCCAGGTGGAATGTCAAGCTCCACGTCATGTTAATCATCAAGTGCTCGTTGTCGTGAACGCCCGCTTTCCCTTGTTTGGTGCCGGTACGTGATGAACTTCATCTTCGTTGCCTTTCCCGTTCCCTTCTTGGAATGCCTGAATTCCCCAGCACCTCACCGACACCAAGCAATCAACCAGGACTACATCTCCCACATCCTCATCGCTGGTCCTCCTTTCGTGCTCTCCGTTCTGCTCCTCCACCCATTTCCTTCTTCCTCACATGGTGATGAGGTGAAGCCATAGGGGTACGTGTGAAAGTCGTCCGGGTCCACACCCATTCCTTCTTCCTCACATGCCAGACCTTTCCCGTCTTTGATCAACGCGTAGCTTTGGAATGTGTCTCTCGACATTTTGTCACCCCATGTGTTGATGTCAAATGACCAATACCGTTATGCCAGCAGCCTACCAAAGGACCACCTCTCAAGGACAACGGATATAAACTCTACTGCCATCAGCGTTTTCCTTCCTCCAAAACAGGTGCCAACCGACTAATTCCACGGCCACAAGCGTCTTCCCCGCTTCCCAACAAATAGCAGTAGCAGTAACAGTATCAGTAGACGATGACGTCATGAACTCCACAGCAACAAGGGTTTTTCCAGTTCCACGCATACTGCATCCACTTGTGCTAATTAGGCCACAGGGCGGCTTCATACAAGGCAACGGACAAGGCAACTTCCTTCGGATTCTCTGCGCTGCTCCTACTACTTCTCAGGATCTTAGAGGCATCCTTTTCTCCGCCGGACAAACGTTGAGGCAATGGCGTTCACACTCTCCTGGGTTCTCCACCTCCACCACTCAAACAAACTGTTTTCCCTAAGGCGATCCTTCCTCCATGTCCATACCAAGCTCGTCCGCCACTCTTTCCTGCTTTTCTGCAGANACCCTAACCTAATCAAGTAAGGTACCCTCACACCCAACGCGCATGCGCCCTCCTTCTAGCTTCACCTTACCACAAGGGACCCCCGAACCCTAACACCCTTAATCCTAACCCTAACCCTAACTTTTCACCACGCGCATGCGCCCTCACGAATTTTTTTCCCGTACCACAAGGCCAAGACACAATCCTCCTCCACAAATATAAACTCCACCCTAACCCTAACCTACTCGGGTTACAAGAGGCTCTCTAGCCCTAACCCTAACCCTAACCCTAACCTCTCCCTCTTCAGGTAAGTATAACCCACCCCTCCCCCACAATTTTTTATCGAGGACATTTCGTGACGCTTACATGACGTACCCCTACTTTCCAAACCGACCCCCATTACTACTCTTTGAAGTTCATTCGTATTTAGTATCGTTTCTTAAATTAGTTTCTGATCTGTCGTATAATCTTCATCAAGTTATTTTCTATAGCTAGTTATTTTCTTTACATGCATTACTTACCCTCTCTTCAAGATCTTCCATTTTAACTTCCAGACTTTTCTTAACTTCATTCATATCGTTCACCAACTGTCCACGTACGTCAGTCACTTTAAATTCCGGAATCTTTTCCACTTCACCCACTTTACTTGTAAGTTTGTTTTGCACGCCATTAACTTGCTCTTCGAGTTTTGTTTCAAGACTTTTCTTAACTTCATTCATATCGTTCACCAGCTGTTCACGTACATCAGTCACTTTAAATTCCAGAATCTTTTCCACTTCACCCACTTTCCTTGTAAGCTTGTTTTGCACGTCATTAATTTGCTCTTCGCGTTTTTCCAAACGGCCAAGCAACACAGCAATAATAACGATAAGAACGGCAGAGCAAAAAAAGAGTGCCATGCGAGTGGTATTCAGATCACCCTTTAATTTATGGTTGATATCTGTTAGCACGTTAACTCTCTTTTCAAAATGATTTTGAAGGGCCTGCACTCTTTCTTCAAAACGATTTTGAAGGCCTTGTACTCTTTCTTCCGAATGATTTTGGCGGGCCTGATCTCTTTCTTCAATTTCATTGTGGCGAATGTTTTCTCTTTCCCGAAGTTCCCTCACTTCTGTTTGAAGTTTTCTCACTTCATCTTGAGTGCCGTTTAACTTACAACAACTCAAAATAAGATGATGGCCGGTCTCAGACTGGAGATGTGATTCAAGCACTTTTCTCTGAACCTGTAATAAAATATCAGCATAAAATAGGCCTTTCTTGCCTGGTTTTTATACAATTTACTTTATGTCAGTTTTTTAAAAAAATTTTTAGATTATTTTTCCAACGTATCTTCTACTTTGGTCATTAACGATACCTTTAGCAGCTTTTAGCACAGGGGTCTTACCCGTCACTATGTGAGCGATTTATATAATAGATACATCGTAACGCAATGATCATTTGTTTAAGGCTCATATAGAAAAAATAAGAACTGAAAATCGCCTAACATTAGCTTATAATTAAATTTTATGGAGAAAAGAAATACTGTCAAACCCCGTTTTTTAGACACCCTCTTAATATGAACGCCTCATTATTAAGGGCAGTTTGCTTTGTCCCAGGGGAAAGAAAACCGTTACATTTCTCTAAATTTAACCCGCTTAATACAGCCCCTCTTTAACACGCACGGACACTTTCTAGAACTCCCTCAGTCTGCGTATTAACAGGGTTTGACTGTACTATAAACTTACTTCTGCTATATTTTGTGTCCTTTCGTGTTTTTTTGTTTTTTTCGAAGCGTGCAAATCCTGATCCTGTTCTTAATCATATCCTATTCCCATATGAACCCTTTAAATTGTTCAATACGTTAAGCTATGTGCAAACATGGGACGCAAAATCTCCCAAAATTATTAGGCCAACAATGTTCGGAGTTGTTGCGTCCGCGTAAGCAGTGGTGTGCAAACGGATGCAACAATTTCCAACGATGTTGGCTCATCACGCGTGTTGGTCTACCACGCGAAGTTATTGCGTTGCTGTCTCTTAGAGCTGTGCAAACGGATGCAACATTGTTAAGCTACGCTTTGTGATCACGCCGACGTGAGGACTTTTTGGCTCAAAAGTTTAACAACTCCAACAACATGCAACAGCGCGTGCACACAGACGCAACATGTAACATCCAACAATGTTGCGTCCGTTTCCATGGGGCTTTACGCAATATACTACCAAGCACTCACATGGCAAGTTTTAGATGCTTTTGGCTTAAACAACCGCGATGGTGACGACATGATCGAACACGTCAATTACTGTACATCAGTCAAACCCCGTTAATTAGGACACTGAGGCGGCCATAAAAATTGTCTGTATTAACGCGGAGTCCGCATTAAGCGGGTTGAATTTAGAGAAAATGTAAGGGCTTTCTTTAGCCTGCGAATGGCAGAAGTTTCTTCTCGCTCATCGCCGCCGAGGGACCTTTCCTCCTCGCTAAACGTCCCTCAGTGGCGATGAGCGAGGAGAAACGTCTGCCGGTTTCTTTCCCCAGGGACAAAGCAGTAATGAGTAATAATGAGGTGTCCGTATTAAGCGGTCGTCCGTAAAACGAGGTTTGGCTGTATTAAAGTGAACTCTAGACTGCAAAACAGTCCGTATTTTTGCGTATTCAAGTACGCGCGAACAGTCAAACAAAAGATCTGGAACGAGGCTGAAAACAGAGAGAATAAGAGCCCTACGGGCGGGTGAGGCTCGCGAGCTTCGCGCGCGTAAGACTCTTACGCCACGCTTTACCGATTTCTTTCCTGATTTTGAGAAAAAAACCACTGTTTTGCTGTCTAAGTGAACTCCAGTGTTCGTTTGACTTAATGGCGATCATTGCAATTCGTCCAATTCTATCCAAGCTTCAAAGAAATGACATGAATAGGAAAAATTCGCTGTTCTCCGTTTACAAGCACTCTGTTTGTTTTTTTTTTGAGTTTCCTCAAAAAAGGAATACTCTCGACTACCGATAACTCGAACTTTTAAGGAAATAGAAAAAAGTTCGCGTTATCGGGAGCTTGAAGCAAATAACCGAAAATAAGGAAATAGGATGGGGAAGCAATTCAAGGCCCACCATACAAAGTTTACTTCAGGGTACGACAAGACATATAATGATATTTTGAAAAAGAAATTAAACAACAAAGCTTGATTTTATTTTTCGATTTGTCAAGCGCCAGGATAAACTCCTACGCGCGTTTAAGACATGGTTCGAGTTTTTGGGGGTAAAATTACATAAAAGTGACCTGAAGGGAAACAAAAATTATTTCGAGTTAGCGGGAGGTTCAGTCTTTCTAGGTTTGAGTTAACGAGGGTTCGAGTTACCAAGGGTAAAATTACAGTATGTGCAAGAAGGAAATCCAGGGAAAATCGATTTTAGTTCGAGTTAGCGCGAGGTTCGAGATAGCGAGGGTTTGAGTTATCGGGAGTCGACTGTAACTAAGTGATTTTCCCCGCGCTCTTTGGTCCAGCACCAGTTTTTTTAAAAGCTGGATGGTGTATTAATCCACCGAACAAATCACTATGCAGCGGATAAGTATGAGGGAAACCAATGCTACTTTCACGTGGAAGCGTCATGCACCTTTTCAGTCTGAAAGAATTAACAGTAATGGCCTTCTCACCTTTTGAACGAATGGAACCAAAGCTATAGGCCAATTCCGAGTTCCCCAAAACCTCTGTTTCAAAGCGAGGCTAAAAGCCAATCTATTGATATTAAAAGGAATTTTTATTCTCAAAGCAAATAAAACTCATTTTCACAAAAAAGGTTATGTATTTAGCCTTGTTTCGAAAGTGAGAGTTCTTAAACCTCGGAAATGCCCTATTGTCTTTGAGATTTTAGGTATTGACGTGAGCCATTATGCTACATGATTTCCCTGTTCCTACCTGCGCTAGTATATTCTAAAATTCCACAACTAAACTTCTCAATTTTAATAATCAAAATTACCTTGGATGTACAGCCCATCCAATTATATGGGCAGGGAACCTCAGTCAGCGGGCATGTATTTTTAACGTGGTCTGAGACCTTCCAAGAAAACAGGCAGGATAACCTAGTTATTAATAAGGTTTAACCATTTCCATTAACCATACAATACTTCACAACACCTGGCAAAAACATTGACAGAAGAATTTCATCTGTAACATCTTTAATTTCGAGCAGCGGAAAGGAAGCCAAATTGTTGGCTTTTATTTTCTTCCTCTTCCTACTTCGTTTCAAAAAACTATCAAAAGCTATCAAAAATCTTTCTTTCGTCGCACAATAGGCAACTGACCAAAATTTATATTAGCACAGCTTTTTGTGTTCTATCTTTATAAAATCTTTGATGAACAAGGCGAAACACGAACTCATATTAACTTAAATATAGTAAATACAACAAACTCAACATGGCGTCGCTTCCGGAATTCGAACCCAGGATTCTTTGTTGGGAAGTGAGTGCCACCCTCCCATGGCTTGAGCTTGATACTATGTTTTTCTCTGCTGTTAGAAGTTTTTCTCTGGATAGTCCGGTTTTCCCCTCTCATCAAAGTTCAGTTCGATGTGGAACGCATGAACACTTTTCAAACGAGTTCTTGAAATGCTTCGTGGCATCGTGGGCAAAACCAATACATTTTTTAGTATATGATCTGGGAGCACATCGCAACCAGTCTTACCTTTTCCTTTAATATTTTAATCCCGCAGTTGTTTGGACATCCAGTTAAGAGACCTTCACAGTTTTCTAGATGTGCCTGCCAAGAAAAAAAGTCAAAATCTGAGGTAAATAGTGGAGAATGAACGGAATTTTGATAAAAGACGTTAAATACTCAAAAAAGAAAACAAGGCAATAAGAATCAAAAATTAAGGAACCAAGTACTAGGACTGAACATCACAATCAAGCCCCTTCAACAGTGACATAAACAAATGTAAATTAGAGGTTCATGCGCAACAGTGTGCTCTACTACTGTAACTGTAATATGGCCAACAATAGGCACAATGCAGTTACGAACCTTGTTTTTCAACTTGGACATTTTTTCATAATTCCTAACTTAACTGTTGCTTAAAAAAAGCACTCTAAAAACGTAAGCTGGTCTAGTAAAGATCTTTGAGAGGAAATCGCTAAAGAAAGTAATCTATCATACTATTATGGAAATATTAGACGCGAAATTGAGGTTCTGGAATGGAAATATATCGTTTAATTTTTTCGTGCGTCAATTTTAGTTTTAATTTAAGTTGTTAAAGTTCTAAAAAACTAGCAATAAAAACTAATTTGCCTTTACCTCCATCTGGCACTTGGGATGATTCTCTTCACAATGACTACACTTTAAAATTTTCCAGACGCACGTGTTGGTCACGTGTTCAGCCAGATCTTTTCTAGCCACTTTAACTTCACATTTTTTATTGGTGCAAGAAACCATACTCAAAGGGCAAGAATCCAAGTGTTTCTGTTAAAATAATTACACGAAAAAAATATATAGCATCATTCCTTTAATACTGAACCATGTCTACAAACCAAGAATTCCTGAACCATCAACAGAGAGGGTCCCCAATAGGGTTTTTCAATCCCATAATCTGATGGTTATTTTTGGCATCCCACCTCCCGAGCATGTTTGCAATCCCGTATCCCTAAAAACCTAATTGGGGACCCTCAGAGAGGGGAGCCAGCAAGCGGGACAGCCTACGGTTAATTGAACGCACTAATCAGTTTCTATACTTACCTCTTTTTCCCGGAGCTCACCGGTCCATTCACAACCTTCACTGGGACACTTGATAATTAGTGACAGTATCCTTCTTTCGGTTGATTTGTCCGGGAAAATGTCCTGAAATGTAAAAAAAAAAAAATGAAAAAGTGTCTATATATTGAAACATCTCTATCCGTTTCTTTTTTCTCCTCCTGAATAAAAATTTACATTTTGCTGGAAGATCAGAAGAACTGTAGTTTACCTTGTTTCGTTCCAAGGCTTCTCTGTCTGTTGGACATGTCAGTGGACCTCCTCCTAGCTCCTGCCT